TTAGCTAAAGGAATATTGACAACTGATTGCTGCTAGATGAGGAACAGCTGACCCTCCTAAAACAAAGACCTCTAGGTAGGCTGAATAGATTCACCGGATGGACAAGTACTGGGGAACAGCTGGGGTGCTGACGCCACAGCAGACAGTAGCAGGGAAGACAGAGTAGAAGGGCTCTAGTGTGTGTTGGGGGCGCTATGGGAGGGTGCCATCTGGGAAGTGGGTATATAGATGAATAAGATTGTTTGGGATGTTCAGTGTGATATACACACAAAAAAATCAACAAATTAAAAAAATAAGTTATATTTTAGGAGGAAGAAAATTTACATCGTGTTAAGTAGTAGAGGTGATAAACATTACCACTGAAATCTACCTGCTGACTTTATATCCATACACAGGTGCCAAGGATCCAAGTGCAACTCACTCTAATAATAATCAGTTACATACAGATTAGAGACACATGTACCAACATCTATTATTAACAAAAACAATGAGTCTTTCTGTAAGAAACAGTATATTTTAAAATGAAATGGAGATCATTTTTAAAGGTTAAAAACTCATTCAATTTTATGTCTTACAGAGTTTATACCGAGCTCAATATTATATAACTGTATTAATTCAACTGTGAACCTAAAAATTTTTTTTTTGGTCTTTTTTTTTGAGGCAGGGTCTCCCTGTTGCCCTAGCTGTCCTGGAACTCACTATGTAGACCAGGCTGGCCTTGAACTCACAGAGATCTGCCTGCCTCAGCCTCCCGAGGGCTCGGATTAAAGGTGTGTGCCACCACACCTGGCTGAACCTAAAAATTTTATAGCCACTTTTGAAAGAGATGTATCTTTGCTCTGGAAATTGTTATTGAGTATGTTAAAGCTGTAAAGAAATGCTTCTTCTGAAAAAAAATTGTTTTTTAAATGTCCTTTAGGGGCTGGAGAGATTGCTTAGTAGTTAAGAGCACTGGCTGCCCTTGCAGAGGACCCAAGTTCGATTCCCAGCACCCACATGGAGACTAACAACCATCTGTAACTCCATTTTCAGGGAAATCTGATGTCCTCTTCTGACCTCCACGGGCATTGCATGATGACCTGGGGGCACTTACATACATGTTGGCAGTACACTCATACACATAAAATAGAAATAATAAATAAGGCCAGGCGTGGTGGCTCATGCCTTTAATTCCAGTACTTGGGAAGCAGAGGCAGGCAGATCTTTGTGAGTTCAAGGCCAGCCTGGTCTACATACTGAGTTTCAGACCAGCTGGAGCTACAGGGAGACCCTGTCTCAAAAAGACAAAAAATAATAAATAAATAAATTAATTAAATAAATAAATTTTTAAAATGTCCTTTAAAGGTTGAACACCTTCCTGGAATCCTGGATAGACAGTAGCTTCCTCTGACTCCCCACAAGATTCAGCCATATATTCTCTTCACAAACTGAGCTAATGCTACTCTGAGCCTAACTTTTCCCATACAACTTGCTTATGATTCAAGAACATTCTCCTTTCTCCTTTCCTCTCAAATGAACACACTCTCAAAATTCAAATGTGAACTCCACTCACTAGAGTTCTGTGTACACTTTCTCTTATTCTTTTGGCTTAGAGGTGGCTGGTACAAGCCCAGTTGGTTTCCCTACCTCTGTGTCTTCTGATGACATCAAGCAATGCCTGTTACTAACCACAAGCTCCTGTCCCTGCTTTGGAGTGTAGTAAGCGCTGAATGCCTAATCAAGTGCTGTACACCTGGCCAGAAGGCACAAGCAGCTCATTCTTCCTTTTGTACTGGAGTGGCTGTAATACAGTGAAGAAAGATCAGAGTCTGAGAAGAAAC